ATACACCAGATGGATTTTTCTCCTCTCCTCGGGAGAATCCATCACAGCAAAGCACTGATGGAGTTTTCCAGACCTTTAAAAATGAGAGTGTGGACTTGTTTGAGGAGCTTTAAGGATACCTGGAGTGGGGAGAAGATCCTCTTTGCTGGGAAAAGGAGATTAAAGTCCAGAATAAAACCAGACAGGGGGTTTAAATGCAGATTTTTGTGTCAGGGTGGGAAAACCCCGTGGTATAACGAGCACTGAAGGCTCAGCAAGGAAAGTTTAATGCATTTGTTGAGGCCAATTGAGGGGAGATTATTTATGATTACATTGCTCATTCGTTGTACTTAAATAATTTAATGAATAATTAAGGATGACTTAATGAAGCCATTTAGCAAATAGGATATTGTCCATAAAATGTAAATGTTTCTCTTCCCTGCACTGCAGTATTTGTGCTGTGTAAGCAGGGATTTTGATAACTGTGTGAGCCAATGGAAGCTCCATTTCATGGACTCGTGGGATGGTTTGGGTTGGAAAGGGACCTTAAAGGCCATCCAGTTCCACCCCCTGCCATGGGCAGAGACACCTTCCACTAGCCCAGGTTGCTCCAAGCCCCATCCAACCCGGGCTTGAACACTTCCAGGGATCCAGGAGCAGCCACAGCTTCTCTGCCCAACCTGTGCCAGGGCCTTCCCACCCTCACAGCCAGGAATTCCTTCCCAGTATCCCATCTAGCCCTGCCCTCTGGCAGTGGGAAGCCATTCCCCCTTGTTCTGTCCCTCCATCCCTTGTCCTCAGTCCCTCTCCAGCTCTCCTGGAGCCCCTTTAGGCCCTGGAAGAGGCTCTCAGGTCTCCTTGGAAGCATTTGAGATGAGGGAGCTGTAGAGAGAAGTCTTGGATGATCAGTGGATTTGGGGGATGAAGGGGGCTCTTGGCAGTCCATTATTTTTGGAGGGGAAAGGAAGAGAGGGAGAGGGCAAAGCAAGTCCTGCAGGGAAGGTTTGTGTCTAAAGCCATTTGGGAATGGGTGGATTTTCATGGCTGGCAGAGGCATCTCTGAGGCTGCTCAGGAGAAGGCAGGGCAGGGGGTGGAGGTGGACCAGGCTCTCACTCCAGATCATTTTCCAACACAGCTCTCCCTCCATGCAGCTGTTGTTTTCCTCTGGTTCCATCGTAACACAGTTGCTTTCCAAGAGGAAGTAGGGGGGGAAAAAAGCTTCTTTAAAGGTACTGATGCTCACATCAGGCCTTTTAAACTTATTTCAGGACGGTTTAGGCTGAGTAAACCCAACAGATAGATCTTGTCTTGGCTCTACCCCCGGGGCTCTTCCAGCAGGTGATGGACTGCAGCAGGCACTGCCTTTTATTTCTCCACCAGTGCTTCCAGGGGGTGTTAGTGCAGGGGGGGAAATGGATTTCCTGAGTGGTTTTATGGCTTTTGTGGGTATTTGCTGCCTCCTTGTGACAGTACAAAGACGTGTGGTGCTGTTCCTGTGAAATACAGGGCACTGCAGGGAGCGTTTTGGGAAGAGTTTTTATTGGTCTTTAATTGTTAACCCCTCTCTGTGTTTTCCTCAGAAAGTCTTGGCTGTGGTGCCAGAAGGGAGGCAGGAAAGGGAAACCCCTGGAAGGCTCTGGCACGGCCAGACTTGTGCAGTGTTGCATTTTGGAAAGGGGATTTCATGTAGGGATAAAGTTCCTCTTAGTTCTCCACTCCGGCTTTTTTCCCTGAGGGAGTAAATAACATGGAGACACCGTGTGCATGTGGCACTTGGGGACATGGGACAGTGGTGGCCTTGGCAGTGCTGGGGAATGGTTGCACTGGATGATCTCAGAGGGCTTTTCCAACCTAAAGGATTCCATGGGACTGATGAAACACCTGCCCTTTCTCCTCTGCCCTTGGGACTTCCATCTCCTTTCCCCAAATAAAGGTCTGTTAAGGATGCAGACATGGAAAAGCCACAGGAGCTGCCAGTGAGCAGCACCAAATTCACAGAATCATGGAATGGTTTGGGTTGGAAGGCACCTTAAAGACCATATATTCCAACTCCATGCCATGGGCAGGGACACCTTCCACTATCCCAGGTTGCTCCAAGCCCTGTCCAACCTGGCCTTGGACACTTCCAGGGATCCAGAGGCAGCCACAGCTTCTCTGGGTGACCTGTACCAGGGCCTCCCCACCCTCACAGCCAACAATTCCTTCCCAATATCCCATCTATCCCTGCCCTCTGGCAGTTTAAATGCTTTATCCTGAGGTGAATCTTCTCTCTGGAGTCAGGGGGAGAAGGCAGGGCTTGGCTTTGGCACCTGTCCTGGGCACTCCTGCAGATGTTTTGGATGTGTTTGTTTGTTGTGGTTCAATTAAATGCAGAGCCAGGAACACTTTTCCCTCCACTGCCTTGGAAGTTTGTATTTCCACCCTCCATTTGTATCACAACATTAAATTGTTACTGAAAACGAAGCAGAGCCAAGATTGAGCTCATGTCTGAGCTGGGCTGGGTTTGCATGGATGCAGTTTGGATTTTTTGCTCTTCAGGGAGCATTTAGGTTTCTTGAAGGAAAAGAGACCTTAAAAGAAGAAAAAAAACCTCACAAAGCCATTAAGTGTGGTGGCTGTGGGAAGCTGATGGAAATATAACTCTCTATCCCTGGAAGTGTCCAAGGCCAGGTTGGATGTGGTTTGGAGCAACCTGGGCTAGTGGAAGGTGTCCCTGCCCATGGCAGGGGGTGGAATGAGATGGTCTTTAAGTCCCTTTCCAACACAAACCATTCCATGACTCTATGAATCCCAAGACAAACACACTCAAACATTTTTCTAGTCCATCATTAAAGTATGAGATGAGTGAAAATCCATCTAATCCAAGTGTCAGCTGGGCCTGGAGAGAAATACTGTTTCCAGGTGATGTGGACAGTGCTGAGAGAAAGGGAAAGCTGAAGGGATCAGATCCCCAATCCTGGACAATGCACGTTCCTGGGAGGAGCAGGGAGCTGCACTTGCTGATCCTCGTGGATCCCTCCAAACTCGAGGCATTCTGTGGCTCTTTAACAAAATAACAACTAAATGTGCTTTTGAGTTAACGGGGGAACATTGTTTTTTTTACTGCAAAATCCAGTCCCTCTGAAAAAGGGAAATAAAAGAGCCATTAAAATGCTTGTCTGAACGATTTGTGCTTGCAGAAAAAGGGTCAGGTTGTTACAGAGCAATAATGTCAGGTTTGGATATTTAGAGGGAACGTGGAGGATTTGGGATGTGTAGCTCTTAAAATGAGAGAGGCCAAACAAACCTCTCTGGGATCCTGCTTAAATTTACAAAGAAACAGGCACTGTAGGAGTCTTTAACAGGTGTGGAGATGTTTCAGTGCTGAAGTCAGGGAATCATGGAATGGTTTGGGTTGTGAAGGACCTTAAAGCCCATCCAGTTCCACCCCCTGCCATGGAACACCTTCCACTAGCCCAGGTTGCTCCAAGCCCCGTCCAGCCTGGCCTTGGACACTTGCAGGGATCCAGGGGCAGCCACAGCTTCTCTGCCCAACCTGGGCCAGGGCCATACAAGTGCCAATTTTTTAATCTAATACACTATATGATAGTAAAACATATTTCTGTCCATATCTAAGCCTGAAAAATAGATGCAGTTGCCAACTGGCTGCTCCTTGGGGGTTCAGTGCCTGATCCACAGAGTTTCCATAATATGGAATTATGGACAGTGATCTGTCATCAGGAACAGGCTCTTCCTCTTTTCCATCTCAGGGAATGGTCCCTGCTGTCTGACCTGGGTTTTATTAGTAAAAGTAATAGAATCACAGAATCATTAAGGTTGGAAAAGCCCTCTGAGACCATCCAGTCCAACCATCCCCCAGCCCTGCCAAGGCCACCACTGACCCCTGTCCCCAAGTGCCACATCCACAGGGATTTTAAATCCCTCCAGGGATAAGGATCCACCCCTGCTCTGGGCAGCTGTGCCAGGGCTGGACAACCCTTTTGGTGAATAAATTTTCCCAATATCCAACCTAAACCTCCCCTGGCACAGCTGGAGGCCGTTCCCTCTCCTCCTGCCCCTTGTTCCCTGGGAGCAGAACCCACTTCCCCCCCAGCTCCCCCCTCCTGTCAGGGATTTGTGGAGAGTGAGAAGATCTTTGTGGTGCTTTGCAAAGTCTCTCCTCCAGAGAAACCCCTGTTCAAGCATCCAGAGCCTGGATATCAGTGTTAATCCAGCACTGTGGAGGAAATAAGTCCGTTCTGGTTAATCTTCCTTTAAATGGAAATTTAAACTGTCTTTAAATACACACTGGAACATGGGAAGGAGGTCTGGAGATGTTTTCTCTTAGGAGAGAAGCTTCCACTGGGATTTGGATTTTAATCTTTGCTTGTGTGCCTTGAAGTTGCTCATTAGGTATTCAGTGTGATAAGATCATAACTGTCAATAAAGTCAGCTTTTATTATTATTATTATTATAACTGCTTTTTGTTAAATCTGCTTCCTTGCATTTCCCCCAGAAGTTGATAAATCCATTCATCCTTTTTTTTTCTTTTGATTGAAGAAAACCAACATAGATTTGGGAGAATCAAGAAATGCCTGTGGTTCTGCACCAGCCTGTTTGAAAGAATTCAACTACTCTGCACTTTATCTTATTTTTTGTCATTTGGAAAAGAAATAATGATCGATTTTTCTCTGCTGCTTTCAAGGCTTTTCTTTTTGGGGTTTATCCTCTCACTTTAAATGTCATCAGGGAGAGGCAACAGTGGCTTTTCCAACCTGATTAAATCTCACTGTTGAGATTTCCTGGGGAAAACTGGGAAATGTCATGTAAGGAAGTCAAACAGGGAACTTTGGAATAGGAGTTTTCCCTGGAAATAGCTGTGTCATTCCTCCCTGGGTGTCACGGATCATCTCCCATCAACACACCCCTAATATTATATGATTTTTTCATCCCATTTCTTTATTTCTTGCAGTTTTTCAGCTGCTGTAAAATCACAGAGGAGAAAAATAAAACATCCCTCTCTTTTTCTTTCCTTTTCCAGTTGTTTCCTGTCCTTGCTCCTGGTGGCAGCTGTGGTTTGGAAGATTAAGCAGAGTTGTTGGGCGTCACGACGGAGAGAGGTTGGAATTCCAAATGCTGCTCCTTTCATGCCATTGTTGTAGTTGTTCTCTCTTACATTTATTCACATGTGCATCCCATTAACCTTCAGCTAAGGCAGAGCTCCACTAATCTATAAATGCTGCTCTTTGGGGCTTCTGGTGTATTTTTGATTATGGTTTCAGTGACAAATGGGGTTATTTTTGTGTCCTGACGCTGCAGTTCCTGTGAAGCTCCGAAAAAAAAATAGGGGTGAACGTCCTGAATTCCCAGAACTCGTGTTTCTAGACAGCATAAATACAAAACCCACATAAATCAGGAGATTCTTTACATGTGTTTCAAGAGTGGAAACAGAAAATAGGAAGATTCGCTCCAAAATAAGGAAGTCAAATCAAATCCCCTTTTTCCAGTTAAACCTTATTGAAATATTTTGTGGGGTTGGGGTTTTTTTTCCCCTGGAACATTGGGAGTGTAAGAAAAAGGTGGGAGAAGCCACCCAGGATTTGGAAAGCTGTAGTTTACTACTTAAAAAGGCAGATTTTAGAGCCAAAGCTTTCTCCCTCTTCACCTGCCCGTGGTGCAGATCAGACTTGTCGTGTTTGTAGCATGTAAAAAAAAATTGTTCTCTGCACCCTCCAAAATCTGGCTGCTCCTTTTTTATCCCTGATTTATTGTTTTCACCACCTTTTTTCCTTGTTTTTCAATGGAAGCTGAGTTCCTGTTCCACTCAAAGCACTCGGGGTGACTGAATTTGGGTGGCAAACATGTTGTGACACACAGAGTGTGCCCTGATTTCTCATTTTTAAGCTGAAATCTCTTTAAAGCCGTGTTTGTAGAGGAGCACAAGGCAGACAGCTCCACATTCCTGGGAGTTTCTTTTGCTCTTCCAAGTGCTAAAACCATGGAAGGAGAGCCCTGTCTAATGTAGATATACATCAGAGGTTGGGCTGGGCTACACCTGGAATTATTTTTAGGAGTTTTGTGTGCTGTTAATCTGTTTATTTCTATGCAAAATGAGAGAAGCCAAACGTGACTCAAGTGAGTCCATGTGCACTTCCTGTATATAATTGTCTATATGAGGCCAGATTCCCTAAGGAATGAGGTGGGATTTTGGGGTGAAATCTGCCCATTCCCATAGTTTTTCCTCCCAGCTGTCCTGCTGGCATGAAGCCCTTGGCAGAGCTGCAGCCACCCAGCCACTGTCCTGTGCTTTATTCCCATGTGGAAGTCGATGGAGAGGATTTGGGGGATTAATTTTTACAGCCCTGGAATTCTTTGCAAGTGCCTGTTTTCCTGCAGATCTTCCCAGCTCCGTGGCTGGTTGTGCTTTGCAAGTGCAGAGGGGTGAATAATGTGAATTTATTCCATCTGAGGGTCTCCTCTCTGGGAATAAAGCAGGATGATGTCTGATGACTCTTCTCCCTCTTTTCTGCTTCACGTGGTTTTTGCTCTCACCAGTGAACTCGCTGCATAATAAAATCATTGCTTTTCCAACAGATAACCCTTCATCTTGGAAATAATGGAAGTCTTTGAGCTTTGCTGTATTCTCTGAAGGGAGATAAATTTTTACTGGGGTGGCTGGTTTTTTCCTGCTCACTTTCTTGGCAGGAAACTCAGCTGGAGTCAGCATAACATTCCCTGTGGCTCCTGGGGTTAAATGTTATCTAGGAATGTATGAGGAATATAGACTGAGGAGTAAATAGCAGTTAAAGTATTTGAGCAGTGGCCTGAGTGAGAGATGTCTCTATAAATTAAGTTACTTACAGCGTGATGCATGTTATAAAGGGGAAAAAAAGCAACATATTGGCATGTTTAAGTCTAAATTCAATTTCCATGTGTGACTATTTGACAGGCAGTTCATCAGGGTGGTGTTTTCCAGGCACATTCCTGTGTTTTGCTGTTGTTTATCTTGCTCCTTCTTTTTATCTGCTGCGTCTGTCTTGTAGTTCATAGATCTCTGCTGTTCCTGTCCTCTCCTCTTAGAAATACTTGTAAATCTTGAGGCAAGAGTTTTAAATCTTTGCTGGGCCATAATTAAATATATCAATAAAGGCTGTCTCCAGAAATAAAAGTCCACCCTAAAATTCGTTGACTTTTTGTTGTTATCAAACATTATTTTAGAGCTTGCTGAGTTGGGTTTTATTAACACAGATCTTCAGTAAAGCCAAGCAAAGCTCTCTTGAGTAGTTAATGATTAATTAATGGGATTCCCCATCCCAAGGCCAGATTGGATGGAGCTTGGAGCAACCTGGGGTAGTGGAAGGTGTCCCTGCCCATGGCAGAGTTTTGGAATGAGATGGTCTTGGATGTTCTGGAGCCAGGCTGGGAGAGCTGGAGGGGTTCCCCTGGAGAAGAGAAGGCTCCAGGGAGAGCTGAGAGCCCCTTTTAGGGCCTAAAGGGGCTCCAGGAGAGCTGGAGAGGGACTGGGGACAAGGGATGGAGGGACAGGACAAGGGGAATGGCTTCCCAGTGCCAGAGGGCAGGGATAGATGGGATATTGGGAAGGAATTGTTGTCTGTGAGGGTGGGGAGGCCCTGTGCCAGGTTGGTCAGAGAAGCTGTTGCTGCCCCTGGATCCCTGGAAATGTCCAAGGCCAGGCTGGAGCAACCTGGGCTAGTGGAAGGTGTCCCTGCCCATGGCAGGGGGTGGAACTGGATGTTCTTTAATGTCCCTTCCCACCCAAACCATTCCATGATTCTGTGAAAAGCTGCAGCCCTGGAGGAAGGTCTTTCTGTGCTTTGAGCTGTATTTTTAGCAGCAGTCATGTTACAGTCTCCTGTCTCCCATGGGCTGTGCTGTCAAAACTCTGTGCTTGTTGTCTAATCTTAACCCAGAACTGAGTAAAATATGATGCAATCTGCAGGTAATTCCCAGCTATCCATCAGCTTTGCTTCCAAAGGGATCGCTGCAAGTGCCCAACTCCTTATCAGGAGAAGCTGATTGCTGAGGCTTGTCCTGAGATACGAATAGGGCAGAAAAGAGACTGTGCTGAAAGGTTTAGGAGTCAAAATTATTCAGGCAGGATTGCTTGGCTCTGCAGAGGGACCTGGACAGGCTGGATCCATGGGCTGATTCCAACGGGATGAGGTTCAACCAGGCCAAGGGCCGGGTCCTGCACTTTGGCCACAACAACCCCCGGCAGCTCCAGGCTGGGACAGAGGGGCTGGAGAGCAGCCAGGCAGGAAGGGAGCTGGGAGTGGGGATGGACAGGAAGCTGAACAGGAGCCAGAGTGTGCCCAGGTGGCCAAGAAGGCCAATGGATCCTGGCCTGGAGCAGGAACAGTGTGGCCAACAGGTCCAAGGAAGTGATTTCTGCCCTGGACTCAGCACTGGTGAGGCCACCCCTGGAGTGCTGTGTCCAGTTCTGGGCCCTCAGCTCAGGAAGGACATTGAGGTCCTGGAGCAGGTCCAGAGGAGAGCAACGAGGCTGGGGAAGGGACTGGAGCACAAGTGCTGTGAGGAGAGGCTGAGGGAGCTGGGGCTGTTCAGCCTGGAGAAGAGGAGGCTCAGGGGAGACCTCCTCACTCTCTGCAACTCCCTGACAGGAGGGGGGAGCCGGGGGGGGTTGGTCTCTTCTCCCAGGCAACTCTCAGCAAGACAAGAGGGCTCAGGGTCTTCAGCTGTGCCAGGGGAGGTTTAGGTTGGATATCAGGAAGAAATTCTTTCCAGAGAGGGTGCTCAGCCATTGGAATGGGCTGCCCAGGGAAGTGGTGGATTCTCCATCCCTGGAGGTTTTTAAGGTGAGACTGGATGTGGCATCAGTGCCATGGGCTGGGAACCACGGTGGGGTTGGATCAAGGGTTGGACTTGATGATCTTGGTGGTCCCTTCCAATCGAGCTGATTCTGTGATTCTCTGATTCTCTGATTCTATGTGCTGGGAGAAGTCCTATGGGAATCTTGGAGAAGCTGTGCTTGGTGTGGTGGGTGAACGGAACCAGAGCAGCAGCATTTGGTTGGAATCAGATCTGCATTCCTTCCTTCCTGCTCCAAATCCAGCATCTCCATCAGGATCTTGTCAAATATATAACATTCTCCTGACTTCTTCTATATAATATAAATATAAATATATATGTAAATATAAATATAAAATTAAATACAATATATATAATCCTGACTTTTTTCCTTTTCTGTGCCTCATCTCATCCACTCCAACCAGTCCGTGCTGCTGCTCCTCAGCCTCCTGCCTAAAGGGTGTGTTGAGTATGCAAACCTGGTGTAGCCAAGGTGTAGGAAAATGAGTTTGGAGCACTGAGTAAAAAGTTCAGAGTGTAAACCTTGACCTGGAGTCAAATTGGGACCGATTTGTGTCCTGTCAGACATGGGGGAGGTGGGATTGTGAGTCGGGTGTTTATTCCCTTGCCAGTGAGCACCACGTTTAAGTATCTCCTGACATCTTAAAGAGGGAAAATGGGGATAAAAAGGCAGCTTTTATAGGATCAGGTGAATGACAGTAGGAAATGGGGATAGGAAAACTTTCTGTCTTGTCTCTGTAAGATGACATTTTAAAGGTATCAAGGTGGTAATAGAGAATAAATCACCGAGTACGAGGGTGGCATTAGAAATTTAAAGTGCTCCTCTGCTGCTGGGAATCTTCTGTCCTGTTGTTCTATTTTAGCATCCAAATTGTCTTCTCTTCACCCTCAGTCTGCTTTTTCTCCTGGAGCAAGGAATAGCTCCTCTTTACTCTGCCAACAAAGGGAGATCAGCTGAATCACTCCCCGTGCCCCTTTCACGGTGGGGTGGGAGCATCAACACTAAGCAGGAACAGAGATAACTCAGTTTGGGTGTCCAGACCTCAATTTCACCTTTAACATACGGAAAATTGTCTATATTTTGCCTCCTTTCTTGCCAAGACTCTCCAGGACTGAACGTTTTTACTCTGCCAACTTATTCAGGAGGGGTTTTGTGTATTGATTTGCTGCTGGGATTATCCTTCCCCTTCCTGACCTCGTTGCTGAAACCTTTTTTTTCCTTCCCAAGTGTGTTCAAAATGCCTCTATTTTCCTTGGCATCCCCCTCTGT